CCCCAAAACCCCAAAACCCCAAAACCCCTTATGTTCTGAAAAGTTTGAAATGATTAGCATTCTTTTAAATACTATTGGTTCTGAAAGAAAACTAATGATTCTTTCTGTACCACCATTTATCAAAACTCCATCTGGCGATACCTTCAACCATGATTCCTGAATGGACTGCACCTCCAAAGCTAATCATAGAGTGTTGATACCCAGCCAAAGTCATATACATTCCAGCCCAAGCATAGTGGTGGAAATGAAATATGTGTGTCTTTCTCAGTAAGATCGAAGGAAAGATCATAGTGCTTAAATAAAAACTACTAATAATCCATACAGTGCCAAAATTCCTGCCCTTGCGTATAGCCAAAACATGTAGAACAAGTATCCCATAGATAATGTGGAGAAGAAAGCCATTGCTAGAGCTTCTCTAATTCCCCAAGTCTTAAGGGCTTCAATTGATAGAGATAGGTTTCTAGCAGGCTTTCCCAAAACGCATTCGACAATGCTATTCATATGAGTCATATTTCACCCTAAAAAGAAGCTTCAGACAATCATATAGTTATACCCAAATACTTCTGAAAATGTGAACTCGTAGCAAGTATAATGGTCAGTCATAATACTTCCAAAGTTATATATTCCTCCTGCAATTCCCTCACAGATTGCTTGAATGAAATAAATTAAGCCGGCGTTGTGGAAGCTGTTGCCTTCTACCCCAAAATTTTGAGTGTTACTTTCCCCAGAAATCCCTTCAGAAGAGCATCCTCTCTGCATACTAGAGTGAGACCTCATGAATATGATTGGTGCTGTAAAATAGAGCAATGGAGCAAGTATGGTTAGTCCTATGAAATCTTTATAAGTGCCAAACCTTCCTAAGAAAGGGTTCGCCCTTTCTCTGTTCCTGAGGTTTACTATTGTCACAAATACAAAACCTGTGAGACACATTAAATTCCATTGAATGAATTTGCCAAGACCGAAGCTCTCTGAGTAATAATTTCTTCTCTCGTACACAGAGATATAGGTGCTTGAGATAGTGCCATAAGTTCCATTCTCTTGCTTTGGTAGGGGCACATCTCCAATTAGTGTCGTGGCTACTGTGATTGGGATAAACATAAGGATAAAAATAAGGTAACCCCAGTAAAAATATGCATTAGATTCCTTCCTCTTGCTTTCATTCAGTAATTCTTTAGTTTCCTCATTGTTAGGAGTATCTTCAACAAGTTGATTCCCTTTCTTGTTCTCTGCTAAAATTACCATATTTTTCAATTTTCTTAAGAAATTTGGGGTTTTGGGGTTTTGGGGTTTTGGGGTTTTGGGGTTTTGGGGTTTTGGGG